GAAATGATACCATTGTGTCTTAGCAACATCCAGTGCATTAAGCACATGCAGAGATTGCCCACCCATGCTTTTCTTCCTTCAATCTTTCAGGACCTTTGACCTTATCTTCAGAAAAACACAAAATAGCTAACATCAGAAAATAATATATATAAATAAACATCAAGAGTGATACCTATAATGATGGAGAGAGAGTTTTAGTGGTTACCAACGGCCCGAAAATAGATAAGATTTAAAATTTTAAATGTCAAAATTATGTATTTCATTTTTTAATACTAACATCCACTTTTTATGAAAAACCTCTCAAACACTAATCACATGACACTTTTCTTTTAAAATATAAAATAAAATTATCAAAGATATTAGGTGAGTATCAAGAGAATGATGCAGGCAAAAGTTGAATCTAATAACAAAATAGACAAGAGAAGAAGAAAAAATACCACTTACAACTAAAACAGTAATTTAAAAAACAAGGAGATAATTAACCTAAAGAGAGCAGAACATTATCCTGCATTCTAACGTGTGCATTGAAACCCTCAAGTGAATAAGATCACGTAGATATGTAGATGTTTACAGTGAAAAACCCAGAAAGCAACAGAGAAGGACTGATAGATTAAATGCAGAAGAATTTATTTATTCCTTAAAAGATCAAACTATATTAAAATCATAACTATATAAACTATAAACATTCTCGTATTACATACACCAGCAGAAAGCAGATCACAGAGACTTAACGTGAGAAGATATTACACACCTCAGTAGCACACCGCAAATCACCAACGTAAGGTAGTAAGCTTTGATCAAAGGAATTTGATGTAAAAGGAGGGATGGCTCCCTATTTAAAAGAAACCATTCTATCTTATCTTGCTAAAAGATATAACTAACAAAAATATTATTTATCTATTTCCTTTTAATCTTTTTATTTATTTTGTTAGAGATTAAAGATAATGATAATTACAAAGGATAAGCAGTAGATATATAATATTAGGAAGTAATATGATTATATTAAATTTCATCCTTAAAAATATCTTTAGATCTCTATTTTTTAAATATAAAATTAATACAGAAATTTCAAATTTTGAATTCTGTTGATATTTTTAACTTTTTTCAGTTTTTATTTTTATTATTGGTAATTATATTTTATGACATTTTTCTTTTTTATTCATTGTTCTGACTCTAAAAAAAAGAAAGTAAATTCAAATTCAAAATTTGAAAATTCTAAAGAAATATAACTCCTGACACAGTTAATTAACTACTTTACCGTTTTGTTTCAAGATTAATTTTCTTTTTCTATCCGTAGATGAAAATGAAAAATTACGTTTATGGACCAGTTTTTAAATAAGATCTTTTTAAATAAAATAAGCTTTTTACAAATTAAAATTAATTTTATGAGTAAGATAAAATTAATTTTTATATAAATTAAAAATAAAAAATTTAGATAAATTTAAAATAATTTCTATAAATTAACTTCTGCATAAATTAATTTTAACTCTTAAAACTTATTTTAATTTTTTCAAATACGTATGAAAAATATCATCTAAACATATATTTAAACAATATATATCAAAATATATTGTTCCCGTTAGATATCCTAAATAGGTACTTTAAAAACTTATAAAATATTAAATAGACGGCAAGTTTTATATGAAAATCAAATAACAAAACAAACTGAAAAAACCTAAATTTAGGATAATACAGAAATAAAATTTTTGCTTAATTTTTTAGTATATTCATTATTTTTTTTATTAATTTTATTAAAAATAGTAAATATCAATTAGTTTTTACACATACCAAATTTTATTTGCTAGTATATCTCGTCTGAGTTGTAGCAGTATTATCATTAGTCCCCATTCAAATTAAAAAGATACGATGAGATAGATAATAAATAAGAAAAAATATACTATGGAATTATCATATTCTATAAAAAAAATATTTTATCACAATTTAGTCGTTAGCCAATTATTAACTATTATCGGTTTTTTTTAATTGATGTTGTTATTTTTCACTAAGGAATACACTTAAAAAAAGAGTATGGAGGCTGAGAACTACATAAGTTTACCAAAATATTTCGAAAAAGACCATCCTATTCCATTTTTAATTTTTAATATCAATATGTTATACATAAGAGTCTACAAAATAAGATATTAATAGTATATTCTAAATAATGAAATTCACTTATTTTAATATTAAAAATTCAAACATATAAAATATAATTTCAATTAATGAGTTTTATTATCTAAAATAATATTATTTTTTAAAAAAAATTTCTTTAAAAACTCTTTATTCTCTCTTTAAGCTTTTTATAACTCGTAATTCATATATGTTTGAAGATTAAAATATACCAAAGTGATCACTATAACAAAGTCTTTAAGCATGTTCAACCAACTTTTGCAAAAGAGTAAGTTAATTTTTTGATCTTTTCTCTAGTTTGTATATTTTTCCATGCTTGTAATAGTTGATGAGTGCATGTTTTATTTGAGTCTTTTATAGAGCTCTCTACTGATTAGTGATACTAACAATATACTCTTGTCATGATTATGTGATTTGTAAGAGTAAATAGAATTTCTTGAATTGAGAGAGTCATTCTAGGTCCCTTAGAACAATTTGAGCTTCTAATAAGTAAGATAAGCTAACTACAACATTTTAAAGTCTTTAATAAGTCTTTAGCCTATGATGCATGTTGAATTTGGTATGGAAATTCTATTTAGATGGCTTGTTGAGTGTAATTGGTTTTTGGTTGCTTGGAATTGATGAAATATTTGTCTAGAATTGCTTAAAAGTGTATGTTGAAATCTGTTGGTTCAAAATGATTGTATATTGTTTGAATTGATTGGTTTGGTGTTGACTTGATAAAATGAGTCTATAGTCAATTGAACAGATTAGTATTCAATCTGACAATGAAACATGTTTTTGGAAATGAGTCAAGAATACCAATTTGGTTATTTGAATAAGCTTTTAGTTCATTAGATCAAAGCTAAATTGATGCAAGATTTTCTATATGGCATTGAGCATCAGTTTCACTTCTGAGTAGACCAAATGTGAATAGTCTGGCGTTGAGCGTCAGATTTGGTATTGAGCGTCAGACCTGACGCTAAGCGCTACCTATTTAGAAGCTAGTGCATGTTTTTTGTGATTTTCTTATTCTTGCTTGTTTTGAAGTGGTTTATATGGATTCAATGCATATTTATTTGGAATTGTTAATGCTTAATGGATGGTAAACATGGTTGTGAGTATGTATGTGAGAAGAATTTCAAGGAGAAGTTCTTATAATATTTTTATTTAGTATATATATTGATGTAGAGATTCTATATTGGGATTATCCTAACACTTTAATAATACCATTTAATCTCAAGTCGAGAAAGGTGAGATATGTCATGAAGAATAGTATAGGAGGTCCTAGTCGAGGGTTTTTCATGATTAATGAACTAAGCTTGTATGGATAAGTTGTTCCATCACCACAATTGTAGATTTTCCAAAGTTTGACATCAATATATGTATCTAGATAGTCAAGTCTAGAATGAATAATTGTATAATTCACGATTGGTTGATATAAATTATGTGTTAATATCTTTATTTCAGTTGTATAATCACTCTTTTTGGTAAATTAATTTATCCTATTATCTGTGTTTGTATTTGTCTTTTTTTTTTTCAATGATCACCTTAATTATATGACCAGAAAAGATATCTCTGTTAATTAAGTTCTTAATGATGAGGGTGCAAAAACATAGGGTAGTATGCTTAGTTTTATGTATATATTAGATTTTTGTAAAAACTTTAATATACTTTTAACTTATATAACTCTTAGTATAAAAATACCTTTGTGTGTGTATATATTTTGGTGTTGCAGTTATACCAGGATAATTGTAATAGTATAATGTATATTTTGATGTTACATTTTTTACATCAAAGCAATTATTCCTTAATAAATTTGTTGGTTTGGGTGTGCTAAGTTTATTGTGAAAATGGTTGTTAAATTACTCGTTGAAACAAAAAACAAAGGACAACTTGTGACTAAGTGAAAATAACAGAGTGAGAGTGTAGTAATAAAGAAATATTAGAATTTGAAACTAAAGGTTACAAATTTTTATTCATTAATTTAAAATATAATTTTATGGAATAAAATTGATAAATATTAATATTTGTTAGCTACTTATTATTCTTTCCCCTTTTTACCAATAAGTAACTCTGTTAATAAATGCAGTATTACACAATGTTTTATTTTAATAAACCCATCACATACAATCTTTTTTCTTTAGAACAAAAGAACACATATAATGTAACTAATAAGGTTTATATATTTATAAATAGACATTTGAATTGTCATTTCAGTCCAAATAATTTAAAATATTAATATTATTAAAATATATATTTACGTATATACCTTTATATTCATACTAAAAATATAAAGTTTTAATTGAAAAAATTTACTATAATACCTTATCTCCGTTCATTATTCATTTACATGCATTTTATCCTATTAAAAAAAATTGTCATTTCTATATTTGATTATCCTTAATTAATATGAAACTTATTATATTGGGGTTGGGGATATACAATCACCTTAAACTTGTGTATTTAACAGAGACATTATGAACTTTTTTATTGTGTCGGTTTAATTGATCCCTTTCCTGTAAGTACGATAAGAGTTGAAGGATTCTATGAAAGAATAAACTTGGGAGTGCTTATTTAGAAAGACAAAGTTTAAGGCAAACTTTGATTTTTCTCTTCTATTTACCATAAGCCTGTACAAGATATATGAATTATCTTAAAAAAAATTGTCTCTGCCATACAAAATGGAGGAAAGAAAATTAAAAAATAAAACCTTTTATTATTGAATTAATATTGTAGAATCTGTTCCACAGTAAAAGTATGCATATACATATATATGATATCATAGTGAGAACTCAACAAAACTTTTCTTCAATACCTTCAGCTACAGATATGAAATACACGTATGATTTAAGCGCCTCTTTAAATTAAAGACAGGAATGAAATACACACCATTGGTTATTGATTTAAAATTACAACATCGAGAAACATATATCTACATCATATAGTGCATTTGGCTGTAGAAACCTGAACTAAAACTGTCATACAATAGTGGCATTACTTGAATTTTGGACTACTTTGTTGATTAAACTGGAACCGTCCTAGCAGACCCTGCCATCTCTACAGCCTCAGGACCTTCTTCATTCTCCCCACTCAACTCTTCCAGTGATTTTCCCTTTGATTCTGGCACTAAGAAGGTGAATAACATTCCTAAGAAGTTGACTACACCAAGCACAATGAGAGAGTTCTTAACCCCAATACCAGTTGGGTAACCGTGATCAACCTTTTTGGGGTCCGTACTCTGTGCAGCATACAAGAACCCAAATGCACCCACAATTGCTCCTGCCTTTCCTGCTGCAGCTGAGATTCCATGACAGGTGGATCTTAACCTTGCTGGGAAAATCTCTGCTGGTACAACAAACGTGGTGGCATTTGGACCAAAATTGGAGAAAAAAAAGGTGAGAGAGTACATCACAACAAACCCAATTCTGTTTTCTCTCTTGGTCCAGTGATTGTAAGGTATGGCAAGAGCAAACATGAAGACAGTCATGAAGAAGAAACCCATCAATTGGATGGCGAAACGTCCCATGTAATCAATAAAGGCCACGGTAAACCAGTACCCCGGCACGGTGCTGCAAAGTGCTATGAGTGTTTGTGCTCTTGCAATCCTATAAACTTCATGGATTGCATTCATTTCTTGTGAAGGAGGGAGCCATCCAATGGCACTGAAAATGTCCTTTTGGAAAAGGTTCTGGCTGTAGAAGGCAATGTCCAACAAAAACCATGTTACTGTGGTTCCAAGCAAGTGCAACCCATGGCGTTTGGCAAATTCCTTGCTGAACAAGCCATACCTTTGGTTTTCACTCTCAACAATGTGGTTCAACTTATCCTCTTCAGCTTCAATCTCAACTTGCAGCACCTTGGACATGTCTGAAGCAGCTTGTTTTGCATTCCTGGCTACAAGGGCCGTGTAACGAGCTGTCTCTGGCATTTTCATACGCCAGTAGTAGGTAACCGCAGCTGGAACTGCACCGAACATCAAAATGATACGCCAAACATAATCAAAGGAATGAACTATTGATCCTTCTGGGTTTTCTTTGTAACTGGGAAGATCGTATTTGTGGTCATATGCAGATGACACAATCAAGGCAACTATTCCACCAGCCAAGATTCCAAATCCCTGCATGGCAAACACTGCAGCAATGAATGCCCCTCGAGTCTTTTTGTTGGCATATTCAGACATGATTGTAGCCGATAGAGGGTAGTCACCACCAATCCCAAAGCCAAGCCAGAACCTGAAGAAACAAAGTGTGGCCATGACACCCTTTGGGGTATCTCCAAAAGAGAGCCCCGAGGCAAGGGAACACACTACCATCAGCATAAGAGTTAAGCCATAAACCTTTTTCCTTCCCAACTTGTCACCAAGCCATCCAAAGAAAAGCTGGCCAGCCAAAGTACCGCACAGTGCTACACCAGTCACTGCAGCTTGCACATTAGGAGGAAGAACACCAGGCTTTGGTTTGGATATGTCTGTGTAATATATCCTCCCCAGCAATTTGGTGACAAGAGAAATACAGAAGAGATCATAGGCATCGGTAAAGAATCCCATTCCAGCAATCACAATAGCTGTGAAGTGGTACCATTGCGTCTTCGCCAAATCGAGTGCATTAAGCACTCCCAATTCTCTTCCAGACATCACTCACTAACTCTTTTACCTGATGTGCCCCAAGCAACGATTAGAAATTTTCAGCACAACATAAAAAGATAACGGTTTCTATATGTGTGACTAACACAACTCCATATTCTTCTTCCCTTTGTTATTGTTTTTCATAACAAAACAATGAATGGAAAAAACTGTTATTTGCAATAATAGCCAAGGAGTAGTATGAACGTGTTCCTCACTTTCTACTAATTATCACAAAAAATTGAATTATTGACAAAATAAGTGGAGTAGACTTTTTTAAGAAATTAATAATTTCAACGATTTGAAAAATAGAAATACAGCTGATGTTCGTCTTTCTAAGGCTGATGCAATGGATTGATGATAAAAAAAAAAAA